CGTGCCCCCGCCCAAGCGGCCCCCGAGGTGGCTGAGGCTTCCCCCGGCGCTTTTCGGAGAGCCCCGATTACAGTTTTGCAGCTCGGTAGCGCAGCGCTCCGTAAGGACCTGTTGGAGCGACGTATAGAGCGGTGGAACCCGGAGAGCTCCGCTGGCACGCAGTAATTTCTAAGCGTTTTTAATAGCAATCTGCTGTCCTTTTTTACATGTCCTCTGTGCCTTGAACTTGTCAGACGCTTGCACTTGATATTTCAGCCCTGTTTTTTTAATTCTTGGGACCGTTGTACCTCCATAGAAACTACTTCAGGTTTTCTCCTGGGCTTGCAGGCTGTGGGGTTCAGATAGTTTTAAAAATAGGAGAGTGCTTGATGTCTGCTTGCCCAAATACTGCCTTTTCTGCATTTTCCCAGCCCAGGTTCAGAATGGGGTTTAACAGCGGTTATTTGGGCAAATAGCACATGTAATCGGTGTACTGATGGAAGGAGTGTGTCCCAGAAGAAATGCGTTTATTTGGACCGCTAAAATGGTGAAAAACTGAAAAATAATTTGTTTGATACAGCGTTGGAACAAGTGATCTTGAGCTGCGTGTGGATTTTTAATCTCCTGAGCTGTCCAGAGGAATCAAAACCTGGTTCATGTGCTAAAGTGTAGCTTAAGGATGACCTGACACCTTATGTTTCTCTTCTAACTTGTCACTTTTATATTCATCAGTCCTGCTAAAAGGTGTGGGGTCAGTAAACAAGTGAGAAATGCCCAGTTTATTTCAGTACACTTCAGTTTTCCAGTGCTAACCTGTATTTTTTTAAAAAAAAACCCAGAGTGTCAAAGAAGTATACGTTGTTCTGAAATACTATGCTGTTAATACTATATGATAAAATGGCACCTTATGTTAATACAGTTACTCTGAAGCACCCGTAAAATTCCTTCATCACATAGAAGTGCTTTGGCAGCCTAGTGTCAGCCCGTGCTGGATCTCCAGGAATAGAAAACCACATTTTAGGCTCATTTCTTCCCTGCCCGGGTGAAGTTGGCAGTTTTTCAGGCCGGTGCGCTCTTTGCAAAAGGAAGCTGTGCTTTCTCACCCCAAAGTATCACGTCCTTGTTGTTCCCACACACCGCTTCTGGTTAAGATACATGGTCTCAGCAGAAATTTGTTTGAAAAGCTTCAACATGATTGTTCGCCAATAAAATGGCAGTAATTTGCTAAAGTTTGGGGAAACTTGGGGTGGTTTAGACTGCTTTTGCAAGCAGGGCGGGGAAGGGGGATGCTTTTCCCCCCCTCCCCAGCCCGGATTGCTGGGGGAGCCCTCCGTGCAGGCTCCCTGGAGCGTGTGGGTCTTGGAGCCGGGAGCATTGCGTCGGAATTGGCAGGCGGATCATTTACATTTCCAGGATTTATGAATCGTTTTCTGTCCAGATTGCTGTTCTGGTCTTCTCCAGCGTTGGAAATCTTTTATGGCTGTTAAAGCCGGAACAGAAAAGAGAGTCCCGTAATAGCTGTCACTTTAGCCTGGTGGGCACGGGGTGTGCTTTTGGAGATGTGCTGCTTTTTTCTAACTCCTGTGGGGTCTTGTCTCTTTTTATTTAAAAATAATAAATAAATAAAAGTATGCTGATAGTTCTCTCTGTGTGTGGGGAAGGTGTACTTAAGAAACTGAGCAAAACGTTACTTAACCTGTGTACTGAGTGTAGAGCTGGGTTTGGATCTCCTCTCTGCGGTGGGGTTTAGCACCCAGGCCGTTTGCTGCTTTGGCAAAGTGTGGCTCGGTGCCTTACCTACTTGTTACCCATCTGGATGGAGACAAGTGGGGTTTATTCGTGTCCTTTCTGCCTCGTGGTGGGTGCTGGCACACAGTCCGCAAACTGTCACTGTGTCACCTTGCAGAAAACTCTCCTAACTGCCCTGAAAGCTTTGCGTAAGGCTCTTCCAGCACCTTTTTCTTTGGGATACTTCTTGTATCATTTTGGAATGGCTCTGGTCACGGATGTACCTCTCTGCACAGCACCCCTTTGTAGCATGGCTGGGGGCTTATTCCTATGGTTACAGGCAAGGGGTCTGTGGCACCACACAAAAAATATACCAGCGATTGCTGAACAAGCTGGGTCATGTTCTGGAAGTCGTGCGGCTGGGTTAGTGCACAGACAGCAGCGTTGCCAGAACCTGAGCCAGCTGCTTTCTAGCAGGCGCCGTGATACACAGCATTGCAATCCTGTGGAGGACTTGTCCTGCAGGACGTCTGCGATGGCTCCGGGGTCAGAGGAGCCCCTCCAGGGTCCAGAGCCATAGCAGAGACTTACGCTTGCTGATTCTGAGTTTTGAGTCCTTTCTCCCTCAAACCAGTTAACACTCTCCCCACCTCTTCTCACATCTGCAGCCATGTGACTTCCTTGCCCTTTTTCAGAAGGGTCCTCGATCTGCAGGGACCAAAATCCTCTCTAGTGGCACTTTCATAACTTGTTTGTGATGACAGTGTTTATTATCCACAGGCATGTTGTGGTTCCAACAGGTGCCAAGGCAGCAGACCCTCCCAATTTGCTTTCTTCCTATTCTCTCTTTGCATTTTGCTTTTGATTCTGACACCTATTTAACAGCTGCTCTCTAGTGCCAGATCACCCTGCTTATCTGATTGGAAAACCTGAAATGAAGAATCAGTATTGGTTTCTAGTTATGCAGATTTTTGAGATTTTATTTGGTAAAAAGCCTGGGAGCAGAGCTGCCACAGGAGAGGCAGTTTTATGAAGGAGAATACTCAGCCTCTCTTGCCTCCGTTGCCCCCGTGGAGGAGGGAGCAGGCAGGAGGGGAGCCAGGTGTGAGGAAGAAGCCGTGTGGTGAATCCAGCCTCGTCCCCGCTTTCTTCCTTCTCTTTCTGTGTCAGCGCCGCTGCTTCTCTTCTCTCCGTGGTACCAGAGGGGAAGGATGCGCTCCACTTACGTTTATCGGTCCCACTGGCTTATGCGAGGCAGATGGATGGGGAAATCCTCTGATGAAGTTGTCGGGGTAGAGTTGCATAATTCTGGTGGTGTTACTGAGATGCAATGTACCTTTTTTCAAATTTTTTGTCTTGCTTTACCAGCTGAGGATCCTGTGTGCATTTGTGGTACGTCTGCCTGATGCACCCTACCTGTAGCACTAAGCAGAGCTGGCGAGCCAGGAGGTGGCACGGCTGGGAAGATCAGAGGTGTGTTCCTACACAGTGCCCTTTCCCTGTGAAAAGGAACACAAAAAACCTCAGAAAAGAAAAAGAAATGCGTTTCTCATCCTCCTGTAGGCAGAATGTAGTGTGCTTTAACTGAAGGTAAAAAACAGTTTGTGTATAAATGATGCTGGGGAAAGAGGATGCGATTCTTTGTGGAATGCACAGAGTGGGACTCGGTTATTGCTAAGCTCTCCTATGTGCCTCGGGTTAAAGCTTTTAACACAGGAAAGTACCTGAAGTTTGTGACTTGCTTTCAGTCTTGTGCAGTCTTTGCTATATTTTTGTGGTTGTTTTGTTTGGGTTTTTTTTCACCCCCCAGATTAACATTACAGATGATGCAGTTTGAACTGGGGCTTTCTAAATCTTAGAGTCAAAGTCCATAAGGGGATGCCAGAGCTGTGTGCTATATTTCTGAGAAGACAACATAAAATTAAGTGTAGTACTGTTTGTAATGTTGCCACAGTGCAGGGCAAATACCTGATACAAGTCTTTGACACTACTGATTGTGATTGTATGTTTATCCTCAAAACACCTTTCCACATTAGCCAGGCTTTGCCATCAGCAAGGATTCTGGGAGAAATCAGTTGTCACTGAGGGTGGAAGTGGGTGGAACTGCCCCTTTGAGCAGCAGGATTCAGCTAAATCAGTTTAAAATGACATTTCTAGTCTTCGGTTTCATCACAGCCTTTCTTCCTTTTCAGCCCTCTGGCGTGCTGTAGGAGGGGTAGGACTTGCTGTCTCTGCTGACAGATCTTTACAGCTTTTGAACGGGGCAGATCCTTGGGAGATGACAGGTCAAGATCAGCAGGACCTCAGTGAGGAAATGAATGCCCTTTGGGAGCATTCAACATCATATTTTCTTCTGCAAGTTGCAGACCCGTCTCTGCTCTGGTGCTGGTTTGCTCACCCTCAGTGCTTTCCCCTCTCTGTAGGGTCTCAGTGGTGGTGGATGTACAGAGTTAATGTCACTAGTCTTTGTCTAGGTACAGCAGAGTATCAAGATCATCTCTGCGCTAGGATTAAAAAAGCCTGTGAATTAGTAATCTTCGTTAAGTGGCGGTCTGCTGTGAGCCACTCTTACACAGCGGATGCAGACCCTAAGTAGGAGTTTAGCAAGGTGTTATCTGTGAAGACTGACTAATGCTATTGACTGTTGCCTATAATATTGACTCTCTCTCTAGACCATGATACAAAATTTTAAAGTTGAAGCAGGTATAGGGCTTGGATAAAAGTAGAGTCCAAGCTGAGTTAGCGAAGGTGAGGGGAATTCAGAGGGAAGAACAACCTACAGGAGTTTTAATTTTCACTAAACAGAAGTTTTAATGTCAACCATACAGCAAACTGGTTTTCTGAAAGATTGCCCGCTTAATCTGTGAGAATCGGGAGCTTCAGAAA